CAGCCGTTTCGAAGATTACTCGGAACAAGCGGCTTGCGGACAGACAGACAGAAAGACAGAAAAAAAATATATAAAAGCCACTTGCGTTATCAGCAACGCAAATACATCATTATCCCTAAATCTGGAATTTTTCTTTTGATATTACAAACAGACACTCCAATTTTATTATATGAATAGATACGAGTATAGTCTAGCTATAGTCCACAAACCATTCGTGTGGAATTAAAAAAAAATAGTAAAAACCTTTCACTCGGTGATATGTACTCGTATATTTTTAATGGTAAAAGAACTTCTGAATTCCGCCAAGTGGTTTTTGAGTTATTCCAATAAATACTAAAATAAAAATCTTTCCTCTTTATAACATCAGTATAGATTAGCCAGCTTAATTTTTTTTTTTTAAATAAACCAGGCAATAGATAAGGATTGTGTATTCAATGTGTTGGAATGCTCCCTAAGTTTTGTCAAAATTGAGGACAGGATTTGTTGTTTTATGAGATTTTTTTGTTAAGGTGGATGTGTGGTGTGACAAGAATGGATAAAGTTAAGAATGTGTACATTAGAGGAAGTTTGAAAGTAACGCCAGTGGTGGAGAAATTGAGAAGCAAAAGGTTATGGACATGTCATGCGACGATACGATGGGGACATAAACCAGAAAGTGTTAAGATTAAATGTGGATATCTACAAATGTAGAGGAAAACCGAAGAAAGCGTGAATGGATTGTGCAAAAAAGGATATGCTTAAGAAAGAAGTGTAATGTAGTAATATTACAAGTACTGAGCCGACCCTCCGTAAGGGATAAAGGCAAGTGGATAATTAATATTGAGATTTTTTTTTGTGAAAAGATCAATTGTACAGTTTTGTTGTTTTCGTCTCCATTATGGCAAAGAGAATGAAAAGGATAACGATCTTTTTGCATCGATTTTTTCCTGCTTTATGCCAGTTTACTCATTTAAAAAAGCCATTCGCAGATTTCCAAAAAATCTTCTCATTTCTTTTTTACGTAATTAATTTGCTTTTGCTGCAAAATAATATTACCACACTCTGCATAATGTTCAACAAATTGGCGATAGCAAGCATATTTATATAAGAACCAAAGGTCTTCAAAGTTAGTATCTACCGGTACATTTCGTAAACATGTTTATTAAAGTACTTGTTGCCGTTTGTCTGTGTAAGTAAATTTATAATAATATAATACACTAATATACTATAAATATTAACAATATAATATATTTGCCGCACTTTGTTTTAATTTTTTATTGAAATAGTTTTATGCACTTCGTCTTTACATAAACTTAAACTGTGTCAAATTTCTCGTGCGTTTTCCCGAGCAATTTCCCTAAAAAGGAATTCAGATTACGCTTTATGCATACGAGTAAGTGCGGCAGTTACATCTATCCTATCAACTGGTAGATTTTACAAAAGAAATGTTGCCGTTGCGTAACTGACAACCGTGGTCCTTTCATTAACTGACTGTTCTTAATAATGTACCATGCAATTTTTTTCGATCAACGCGATTCAACGCCGATTTCGGCCCTCCTTTCATTCCAACGTACTGGACGGTCGCCCAAATAGCGTAGTGTTAATGTACACAAAGAGATTAGTTCCATATTTATTGCAATAATGGCGAGAGCATATATATTTCTTATGCGACTATAGTTAAATTTTGTCTTCAGGCATTGCCACAGTTACATCATCAAGAAATTTCTTTCGGCGAGATTATACTTACTTTGAGGAATATAATGCATTCTATAAATTACACGAAGGTGAAAGAGAGATAACTTGGCAGGAAGGTTTCTTAAAATGCGATTATGAAGGCGCTCAGTTATTTTACCCCGCCGATGACAATTAATGGCGGGTTATTGCTAACATAACCGATCAAAGCGGCATTGAATATATATATGTGGGCGTCCGAGATGAATTTGGTGTTGGTGACTTTATAACAACCGATGGTAAGGACATCAAATTATCAATTCACTGTAAACCTCCAACATAATTTTTTGTCGGTCTAATTACTCACTTGGTTAAGGTTTATTTGTTAGTTATTACTCCAGACAATGTATATCAGTAAGATCAACCGTTGCAGATTTATGTAGTAAAAATTAAAAATAAATACAGAATCAATGTATCTCGTATGAATCGTTACTGTTTCCGGGATCAAAGATCTAAATATGTGCCAAATTTCATCGACATCCATTCATTACTTTAGGCTACAAACTATAAAAAAAACCATCTAAACATTGAAATTTAGCCTTTATTTTTATGCCAAGTATCATCACACCACGAGTTTATTATACGTTCCAACAGTGGGGCTCGGACCTACCCTAAATTAGGGATGACTAGGTCATAGTCAACCACGCTGATGCAATGCGGGTCGGTTGATATACGAGTAACATGATTATGTAGAGTATATTTGAATTTGACATTCGAACATCCATTACGCGTACATAAAAATAATCTTTCGCAGGACGTTTTATTCCAGAACTTAATATGAAGGAACAAGCAGCATCCAGCCAAACTTACAATGCGGATTGATGTCTGTCAAAACAGGGGCCTACATAAAGGGCACCTGTGAACAAAGCAGACCATATATTTGCAAGAAATTAAACAACGAATATTGCCCCACTGCTGACTCAGGTATAACTTGAGAACAATTACAGTTTTAAATCTGAGGTTCGGCTATTCGCTTAGGTGTGGACCAGGCATTGAGAATAAGAAGAGTTAAAAATGTCTTTATACAAAATGTTTGATGGTTTTGATACAAATGGAACCCCACAGCATATAGGATACAATGACATAAGACGCATGTTTTACACTCGTTTTAAATAATTGGTTTCTCGTATCAGCAATGAAAATAAAACAATGTATTATACATATGCTTTTCATACATTTCAGTACTCGTAACATGATATTTTTCTTACATAACGTACAAACGCTCCAATATTATTTTATGTATAGATAAGACTGAATTTAGTGGCTAAATTCACATTTTTTTGTTTTTAGGTTACATATTTTCAAAGTCATTAAAAAAATGTTTTAAATTTAATGATAATGCGAACACTTGGGCAAACGCCATGCACACTTGCATTATGGAAGGTGGGGTTTTGTCGGACTCCCTGGTAAATAATGATATAAGAAATCTATACTTGCCACCTAGTCAGGAAAATAATTGTTATTACATCGGCTTTCGAAGGATCTTTGGGGATCATTTTTACTCGAGTCGAGGTAAGTCACCAGATTTGGATATCACCTTTCACACAATCCATCCGTCTCTTCTACGTCTGTCGTTTGTCTATCGTCTTTTTTGAATAAAAAACCCCTACACTTGCAACAGTATATTTAATATCGTGGATGAAATCATTGGAAAAAATGTCATGCAGGAGGGGAGCAAAAATTACAAGCCAATAGTAGCAATATTTTCATGGTAACGGTAAATGTTCTTCTTCTTAAAGTGCCTCTCCGACTAGCGAAGGTTGGCGGTCAGTTCTCCAAATTTGACCTTGTCTCTTGCGAGGCGAAACAGTTGGGCGGCACTCGCAATTCTTGTCCACTCTCGGATGTTGCGTAACCACGATTTCTTACGACGACCAACACTCCTTTTGCCGGCAACTTTTCCCATCAAGATGAGTTGGAGGAGATCATATCTGTCATGCCTGAGCACGTGGCCGAGATACGATACTTTTCTCATCTTGATGGTCTGCAAAAGTTCCCTTTTTTGGTGGACTCGTCGCAGAACCTCCTCGTTTGTCATTCTCTGAGTCCAGCTTATGGCCAACATGCGCCTATAGGCCCACATCTCGAACGCTTCTATACGTTTTCTAAGGTCTTCTTTTATTGTCCAGGCTTCGGATCCGTATAGAAGGATGGGCCAGATATAGCACTTTAGTAGGCGGACGCGCAAAGGTATTTTTATGTTGCGGCAGCAAAAGATTTTGCGCATTTTTTCAAATGCATTGCGTGCTACTTCGATACGTGTTTTGATTTCTTGGTCGCTTTCCCAGTCTTCACTTAGCCACGTACCCAAGTATTTATATTTGCGCACCCTCTCCAACTTTTGACCATTCACTATTATGCAGTCATCGTTAAGTTCTTTTCGAGATATAACCATAAGCTTTGTCTTGGCAACATTCATTTTTAGACCCGCTTTTATGCTACATAGATTTACTCGATCGACAATCTTTTGGAGATCTTGTAATGAGGACGCTATCAGCACTGTGTCATCAGCATAACGAAGGTTGTTTATATTACGTCCATTTATTTTAACTCCGCAGTCTAGGTCATGTAATGCTTCTGACATTATAGCTTCCGAGTATAAATTAAACAGCATTGGTGACAAGACACAACCCTGACGCACTCCTCTTTTAATCTCGACATCATCTGTAACGTCATTTTCCACTCGAACATTAGCTCGTTGGTTCCAATACAGGTTCTGTATTATTCGGATATCCCTGTCATCTAAATGTTACCCAATGGCAAAGGCCTTGGTAGCCAATTGTACATAAGAATTTTGTCTTTTGCTATTAAAAGTTTTACAAACGTTAACAAAAACGAAGTGTTTATAATCCTTCGCAGATGAAGCGGCACAGAAACGCCTAGTAATTTATAAAATTAATAATTCGGACTTAAAAATAACATTTATTTTACAATATACACTTTAAGAATGGACTTCTCAGTTTTACCATGTTATTCACGAAATTGTTTTGTCATTTCAGTGCATTTTAATTTTATTTGACAATTTTTCTTACCCTTACAGGGCAAAAAATTACAATTACCTCACGAAATGGTGATTGCTCATGTGTATCCAATAACAATGAAATAATTGCAGTTGGCTGTGAAGATGACAGATTTTTTATATGTGAAATGGACGTCAACAACAGAATATAAACATCATCAACCTGCCCTTGTCCCTGCAAAGGGTCGGCACAGTATGTGCTGCTCTTCCATACATTTCTATCATAAATAAATAATTTAGATAAACATTATGTCTATAACTAACTTATTTCCTCTAAAGCCTCTTATTGTATAACCTGTGCTTTTTAATACCTCACCAAATATATAGGTTTTTTTAAATACTAAATTGTCAAATGAATTTTTAAACTAATCATGCTTATTTAGACAAACTGTAAAACTATAACATTACTAGCTTTTGCTCGCCACTCCGTCTGCGTGGAATTAAAAAAACTTAGTAAGTATACTACGTGTTCTTCCAGATTGTATTACATCTATAGAGAAAACTTCTAACAAAAATCCATCCATACAACCATCTAAATTTTTCTTAAAAATAGAATATCAATAGAATCTTACCGTGAAATAACACTGCAGTATTTTATCTATTTTTCTTTAAGAGTCTGTGGAATATTTCTTAATATAGGTACTTTTTTATTTTTTTATAACATAAGGTGGCAAACGAGCACCCGGTCACCTGAATCCGCCAAAATAGACATCCGCAATTGCAGATGCGTTGCTTACCCTTATCCGACGGAGAAGACGCACATAAAGAGGACATTTCCCCTTCCTATGCGTCTCCTCCACTGTCAAATCCACTTCCTCTTCCCATCCTGTCGAAAAATACTACATCGAACAGTTATTATCTAATATTTATTGAAACTTCGTTAACAGATACAACTTTACCTGATGACCGATTCTAATAAAAATATACTTCTATTTTTTTCACATGTATATTTTTTTATATTGCAAAAAATTAACAGTATCATAGAGTAAATATTTTGAATAAACAAAAATACAGACAAATTGAGAACCTCATTTTTGGAAGTCAATTAAAATTATGGCACTCCAATGGTTAGTTATATTTTTAATTGAATTTAGTGAATCATTTAACAATAGTATAATCTATATAGCATTTTTTTTTATATTTGGCAAAACATATGACTAATTCGAATAAAATATTTTTTACATAACAAAAAGCATATCGGAGACAATTTAAAATTAATTATACAAACTAAGAAATGCTAATTTCTATACATTTCCATCAATACACATAATTGAAATGTCACGAATCAATCTTCGTTTAATTCAGTCAATTTTCATCTTCACTCCAACATTATTCTCGACTTTATGCTAGAAATACAAAATGATACATATTAAAATAAGGCAGTGTTGAAATAAAAAAACCAGACCCTGTGACATCCTTTAAACCTTTCATGCTGAAGGAAAATATTTTTCTCTTCTACAAAAATCGTTATCGATTATTCAATTATTATGGAATCGATTTTTTTATTACATTAAATTATAGGAAATCTATACAATATGTATTATTTTCTAATGATATTCTTTTACTTTACACTCAAAATAGCAAAAACATTTTATTTTATTCGAATATTTAGTCTGGAGGAGAATCGAATAACACCTCATTCTTCAAAATCGATTCAGTCGTTTTGGATCTAGGCCGTAACAAACAAATCCACATACATACGCGCAAAAAATATGCACCCCTGTGATAATGGCGTAAAAAAAATTACCTCCGTCAAAAATATTTAAAATCTAGCTGTTGCTCGCGACATCGCCCGCGTGAATAAAAATATAGCCTATGTTACTAAGAGATAACATAGCTTTTTAATGGTGCAAGAAATTTTAAAATCGGTCCAGTTATTTTTTTAATTAATTCAATACATACAAAAATACAAATATTTCCTCTTTATGACATTATTAGCTATAGAGATATCATAAGTTTATTTTTTACAGGTTCTAACACAGCTATCAAGTTTAATGCATCGCGGAATGAAAAATAAACTTGATAACTAGCATGTACTTCCAGACTACATATGTGCCTAATTTCATGGGTATACATTGAACCATGGAGTTAAATTCTAACAAACATCCATCCATCCAAACTTTCGCATTTATATTAACAGTGTATTCTACAGAAATATTGTCTTTCAGATCATAATTGTCTTCTCCTACCTATTTTTATTTAAATTAAACCTTACATCAATAAAAAATGAACTCACCAATATTTAGAGATTCCCGATATCCTCTTCGAATAATCTTTTCCCACCTTTGAGTAACTTTTCGGAATCATCATTATATTTCTTTGTATACTCCTCTAATCTGATCAGCCACTGGGCCCAGTGCTCCCTCAGTTTGTCAGTGGACAGATGAAAGACATCGGCTTTAGACCCATCAGTGTAAGCTATCACTAACAGTGCATCCCGTACATTTAAATGTTTGTAATTCAGATCATTACAGACCGCACCAAAATATGCTGCCAACTGAACTGGATTGTCATAAGTTAAAGATATCGCTTTCTTATGCTTATCTGATTTCTTCCATTCAATTAGTGTAGGCCTGTCCCTGGAAATTTAAAAATACAATGTTGAAAAAACAATGTACTGAGCTTTCCCTATGCGTTTCAATGCAGGGCCACAAAAAAGAATAGAATGGAGCAGAACAGAACAGAACTGCCCCCTTAGATAAAGTAACTATGGCTATCGTTGATTGAAGATTTAAAAATGTATGAAACTGACAATAACATATGATAAGTCACATGCTTGTCACATATTCATTTTGACACATTTTGTCAATTCTACTAGCGACATCGGCATCGCTAATCGAAAATCACTTCGGCAAGGGGGGCAGAAGAGAATAGAATAGAAAATAAACATTTGTGAAGGAAACAAAAGCATGACACAGACTCATTCTAGACATAATAGTACAAAATTGTGACAAAAGGTAGCTCCTTCTCACTCAAGTGAAGTATTTATTTTTGGTGTAACTGAGAGTCTTGCCACCTTAGCTATAATTCAAAATTTTATTCTTGCTTTTCATACTTTCAATTATCTTCTTGACATTGGCGAAATCATCAAAATAACAATTAGGGCCCACTATTCATTAAAAAAAGAAGTAACACTTACTCATAATCGGCAATAGCATCAAATATCCCTCTGTACTTCAATACAGGATGTACAACATTAGATTCAATAGCTTTAGGTGATGATATGCTCTTCAGTACCTCACCCACGGACACCCACACTGGTTCCACATCCTTGTCAATTCGTAGTTGACTACGCGGCTGCGTAAAATAATTCTTCAATGTACTATGGAATTTAGTACCAAGAGCTAATTGTGCTGTGAAATATATACAAAAACCTTTAAATACATCTGAATATCCTCTTTCATACAATCAAAGAAATTATAGGAAAGCAAAGAATTTCCTATACTTTCTTTAATCTTCCCATATCTCTTCCTTTATCTTCCTAAATGTTAATAATAAGAGCCTGTACCACCACTGGCTGAGGCTCAGATAGCTTACAAATGATGTCACTGTCAGATAAGGGAATATAATCTGATTTGGTGGGACAGACCCTTAATAGTTTAAAAATGGTTGCTTTAAAATTTATATAATAATTTAATCTACATGAACTTGAAGCAAATAATATGAAACTTGTTATGGATTGATTCACATAGTAACCTGTTTTCATAACATAAAAGATGTTTTAGATACATTTGAAAATATTACATCATACTGATTTAAAACTTGAAATTAATTTCATTATATTACATATGAACTTATGCATTTTGCACATTACATTAAGAAATCTTGAAAAAAAAACTCATTTTATGAATATCAAGCTTGATTACATAAATCTTTTTTTAAATGTTGCCTACCACCAATAACCTTGACCTTTCTTGACCTAAACAATGCTTTATCTTAGCAATGTTTTGATAAAATTCCTTTGGATTATAGTGTTTTGTTTTTCTTTTGATAAAATAGATAACTCCAATCTTTGTTTATTTTTATCAATGACTAGCTGTTGCTTGAGACTATGTTCACATGAAATCTTACTAATGTTACTTACTTATTACCAATGTTATAAATGTGAAAGTTTAGATGGATGGATGGATGGATATTTGTTAGCATTTGTACTAAACAGCTGAACGGATCTCTATGAAATTTGGCACAGGTTTAGAGCATAATCTGGAAGAACACATAGGCTACTTTTTATCCCGGGAATAGTTACAGTTCCTGTGGGATTCATTAATTTAGTTTAATGTTTACTTGATCATTCTGCAACAGTTCAACGTATCTTATTGAAATTTGGCACAGATATTAAACAAAGTCTGGAGTACACATGGGATAAGCTTCATCCCCGATAAATGTCCGGTTCCCGAGGGATACATAGCTTTTTGTAATTTACATAATTTGTATGTTTTCTAATACCAAGCACACAAAGTCGCGGGCAACAACTTGTTAAAATATAATAAAAAGGGTTGCCTATGTGACTGACTGATAACAGCTTATTAATGACTCTAGTTGACATTTATATCAAGTGTCATACAGTATACTTATGTGGACTTTTACTTAAGAAATCAAAGCAAGGAGAGCAAGAGATCGAAATCAAGGTGTTTCCTACTCATACCAATTTAATTAAAGACTAGATCTCAAATCTGGCAAAAATTATACCAGAGTCACCTATATCTAAATACCGTAACAAAAAAATAACTACATTTTTTTAGGATAACTTTTGCAGCTGACATTTGCAAACTATATCATATATGCAAGCTTTATTGTACTATAACAAAGTACAAAAATGTATGAATACTAATTATTTTTATTTCACAATTATCTATACTTATATTATAAAGAGGAAAGATTTGTATTTGGTATTTTTGTATGTATTGAAATAACTCAAAAACTACTGGACCGATTTCAAAAATTCTTGCACCATTAAAAAGCTATGTTATCAGTAAGTAACATAGACTATATTTTTAATTATTTTATTATTTCATGAGGATGTAGTCACGAGCAATAGCTAGTATATTATATACTGTTATCTTACTGATGTTAAAAATGCTAAAGTATGTCTAAATGGTTCAATTGATTGCAAATAAATTGGCACATATATAGTACCAGGAAGAACCCATAGGATACTATCTTTTGTATGTTTTTTCTGGTGTGGTCAGAATTTTGGAGAAAAGCTAGTATTTACATGAATCAGGGCACAAGAAGCAGTGTTTTTAAATACATACCTTCATAAAATCTATTAAATTCATCCAAACCCATTTCAGCAATCCGTTCCTTCTTCCATTTTTCTAAAGCAATTCTCGAATCTTCTGTCATTGTTTTATTTAATATCAGTGTGACCGATGGATACTGCTTTGCAAAATCATTTTGATGTGGTTTAATTTGAAGAATCTTATCTTCACTAACATAGCCAGTTTCAGCAGCAGAACTCCTTGCGGTATTACTCACAGCAAATGTTTTTATTCCTCTAAGAACATTGTTGTTTATTAAAACAGCAGCGTAGTTGATACAACTCTTCGTATTTTGCCACATATTCCTTTTAAAAATCCCGAAAGTCTGATCGTAATTCAAACGGAGAAGCACATGTTCTGAAACACTAAATTTCTGCGAACTTTCACTTGATACTCCCGCCTTGTTTTGATGTGACGTTTGGCTATTTTTAGCTGGAACAAACAGAATATTTATCTGCGAATGTCTACGAGATTGCGTCTCTAATAGGCGCCAGTGTAATGTCATATGATTCGATAATTTATATTGGCACAAAATCATTGCGGCTACATTGTTTATGAAATAAATACCTGGCTAGCAGACAAGACTCGTGCGACTGATCGTAAATATGAGACAAAACAAAAACAACTTAGTAAACGTCTCAAAGACAAGAAGTACGAACTAGGAACTACTTTTATAGAAAGAGAAGTGTGTTTTATTACAAGGTTGACCGAGCTGAAACACGGAATACTCACTAGACTTTTGCAAACGAGTTTTCTTTGGTTTCTTCCTGTCTAACAATGGTCCGAACAATTCCTTGTTCTCTTTATGGTATAGTTTTATTTTTTCCGCGGGGTTCAAAATAGAAGACGATTTAACCACTTTTGTTCGGATAAAATCTAGTTTCGTTTGCACAGACGCAACACGGACTATTATACGATCCGGTCGAAGCATAGCTTAAATCGTATTCGAGAACAATATTTCGTAAAATTCGCAAGATTTACATACGATAAACAATACCTATCAATTATAGGAAATTAAAATTAATTCAAAAAAATGACAAATAACCCTTCTGCCAATCATTGAGCAATAAATCAATTGCCCTTTTTAATATTTTTAAATAGAGTTAAAAAAATAAAAATATTTTTTTTGATCCAGATTAAATATAAAATATTATAAAAATTATAATCGTTTTTCTTATTTAGTGCAATGTAAAATTAATTATGTTTAAAGAATCCGAATAGAGGACATGTAGTTGACAGGAAAAGGAAGAGAAAAATAATAAGAAGTATTTAATAGGAATTTTGAATTGATATTTATAAAAATTATGTACTCTGTGATCAAACGAAGCAATTTTATTTTGCGCCATCTACACTTACATTGTAATAACTTTGGGAATTTTAGTTTTAAATTATACCTTAAGAATTAACACATAGATGGCACTATTAAGATTTAATTAATATAATGAACATTACACATCACACTTTTGCCAAAATATAAACACTTACTTTGCATTTGCATAAATGTTAGCACATATTGATACATGAATGTGAAAAAGACGAAAGCCATAATAGCCTACAAGGCGTGAGTTATGTTGTTAAAAATCATGAATGCAGATGTGAACGTAAACAAAATCTATCGGAGCGATATGTTCATGAAGTGTATCCTTTATCCACTGCAATAAGGATCATAATATTAAATCTTTTAATGCACGTGGTCTCGACTGCTCTGTTTTCTTTCATCTTGTGCCGTGCACCGACTGCATACAGATTACTTCCTGTATTTACTAAACGTAACATCACTATCGTAAAAATATGCGCCGAAAGCGGAAGAGATGGTTCATCTTAACTACATTTTTAGGTTAGCGTACATATGGTGCAATTTTAATTAAGTTAACTGATGTAAAATTACGTAAACCATAGAGAAAATAAATATTATAAGAGCACAAGTTAATCTATGAAAGATTATAAGAATATATAAGAACAAGTAAGTTTAACATAATAATAAAGAATATTGAAGATCGAAGAATAACGAAAAGGGAGATAAAATAAATTGAATTCCGTTGACGAGTTCAGAAGTAAATCTGTCTGTAGGCAAAATCCAATCTCAAACAACCATCTCGTTAAGGAAAAAATGGTTAAACCTTCGAAACGTTTTCCATTAAATAAACGAAAGATAATCGTGCGTAAATACACTGATATGCGTAAAGTATACGAAATCAACGTAAGCGAATACCACATGCGTATTTATAATGAAGAATGTGTCAGACTTAAGGTGCGGTTCCACTGAATGCAAAGTCACGCATAAATAAATGTACGGTCACAATGGCAAAAGAGGAAAGATTTGTGTTGTATTTTTGTATGTATTCAAATAACTCAAAAACTATTGGGCCGATATAAACAAATCTTTGACCAATAACCAGCTATGTTATTAGTGAGCAACATAGGCTATATTTTCAATTATTTATAAATTTTAAAGGACGAAGTCGCGAGTACCAGCTCGTCATACATAAAACAAGAAGTATGTTTTTACGCTTTATTATAATAAGTATAGATAACGACTTTCTTGTTATAACAAAGTTTAATCAGTCTGCTGAGCTTATAGTTGTCGAAACTTGGCTAATATAACTTCTCAAATTTAAGTTTCCTCGAGGGGACGATGCTGTGAAACGGAACGCATCCGTGGACATGAAAATGCGCTTAGAAGATATCTACAAACATAACTTGGACTGTGTATAATCTATTTGATTATAATAAATAAAAAAAAATAGTGATATTAAAAATAAACCCTAGAAGGTCATAGCAACCAAGAAACGAGAAAAGATTTTTTAACATGTAATCTTGGAACGTGATTTTTATAGGTTAAAAAACATCAATTACCTAAGTATAGGTATAAAATAGTAAATCCCATAAATGTTTTCTGTAAAAACTGATGTGTGTGATAAGTTTATGACCTTATTGAAAGAAGTAAGCAAAAAATCAGAAAAATATTCACTAAAAAATATTAACGAAAATTGCTTTTTAGACAACCGGAAATTGGAATAAAATAGCGGAGATAACATCCGTTTCACTTCAAAACCAAAAGAAAAATATAAAATGGCGAGGTAACACTTTTAGAGATGGAAAATTTTAATTATTCTATAGCAGATGTTCCCAAACTCGTGTCGGCTAACACTATGAATAAACAATTATTTAAAAACGAACAATAATCAATAAAGACCCTAATTTTTTCTGGTTCTTTTTTCTTTAGGTTTTCAGCGCTCACTAGATGGCGTTATAGTCCATTTTGGAAAAGTGTGCTCGATAGAAGTAAGCAGGAATGAGTAATGCGTACTTTAATCAAAGAAAAGTAAATTCTTAGAATAAATCAAGCATTGTTCTTATAAATCTTGCCCTTGTCATTAATTTTACTGAAAGAAAAAAGGAATTCTAACAGTCATGAATAACAATCGGTTCACGTACGAACTTCACAAAACATGCTTTGTTTCAAACATATATTTTAATTCTAGTTGTCCTTTATTATTATATCATTTGAAATCGTGAAACAATTGGTGCACATTTTCATAGTTGGATACTAAAGGTCGTTTATACGATGCAAGTTTAATAATCTATAATATTATAATAAAGTGTAAACACACACATCTTTGTTGCCTAAGATGTCAGCAATTACAGCACATTTTTGAATAATCCTTTCTTTAATAAAAAGCCCTACACTTACGTCACGCTTTAGGCTATATATTTTCACGACATTAAACTTAGGAGGTAATTTTTTTGGATAAAAAACCCTAATGTGGGAAAGAGACCATAAGTTGCTACCAACATCAAGAAAGAAAGATTGCTAAGGTTTGTCATGTCGTGTCATTTTGACATTGGCAATTGAGAATTTGACAAATGTAAACAAGTTTTTATAATTTCACGCGGATGAATCCGCACGCAAACAGCTAGTAATAAATAAAATATTTAAGTATGTTATTTGTTATTAAGCATATAAATTATTTATCAGTACGTATTTAACTTTTTTTTTATTTCAATCATATACATGAGCCAGCCAGACAGAGACATGTTAATTATAAAAAGAAAATAATAAAATAAATTTAGACAAAACTAATCGCTTTAATAAAGGATTGGCTGTGGTCCACTAACTGTGATAACTTTTTTTTAGGATTAAATGTTCTAAAGATATACCAGACCATGGTTATTGAGAAAGTCGACTTGTTTCGGAAATTTCGTCTTCTATTCTGGACATTCTATATATTCTATACTAGCTGTTCCCGTGCGACTTCATCTGCATAAAATTATGAAAAATTTATTTTATTGTTCACATGTGTCAAATTATCAATTGTAAATGTCAAAATGACATAACGATGACAAACCATGGCAGCCTTGCTTCCTTGATGTTGGCAGCAAGTTATGGTCTCTTTCCCACATTAGGGTTTTTATCCAAAATATTGACCTCCTAAGTTTAATGGCGTGAAAGTATATAGCCTAAAGCGTGACGTAAGTGTAGGCCTTTTTGCTGACATCTTAGGCAACAAAGAAGTGTGTGTTTACGCTTTATCATAATAGTATAGATATACATCTATTCTATAACATATTAGAAAAAGTATTAAAAATCAGTTTAAAATGTGTAGTATTTTTTTGATTCTCTAAATTAATCACGTACATCAACTTTGTACTTCAACAATTTCCAACTGGGTGCAAACTTTCTGCAATAGTTCCGTTGATAATATGAACTTTTGTACTTAAGCAGATTCCACCATTATTTTGGGTCGTGACAATCACCTGGAACGGTCTTCCTGCATTACTATTAAAACTTTTCGTCTATACACGAACACTGCATTACGTACGAACTTATAAAGTGAAAAGTTTTGTATTTTTTAAGCCTGTAATAATATCACCAACTTTGGTAACTCTAACAACTTTGATAACTGGCTGGCTTATGAAGGTAATTAAGAGTTTTTTTTTCAATCTTTACTTCTATATCTCAATTAACATAACTCAAAAACTGCGATTTTAAAAGTTCTTTAACTATTAAAAATCTATGTGGAAGAAGTCGCTAACAACAACTAGTCTTTAGTAATGAACTTAGCAATTGTTGGGTAATATGCAAGGGTATCGCCAGGGTGGGTGAAAGAGCACATCCCCCTCTAGAGAATCGCAAAATGTAATATAGATATTACTACTCCGAAAAAGACTAATAAATAGTATGTCACCGTTTATCCTAGTTTGAATTATCGGCTAACAACGCCTGTCATTGCAAATTAGATCTAATGGGAATGTTACTTATGAATGAATTTAACTTAAACGTAATATGGATGTTACAAGAAGAATCTTCAATAATTTTAACGATACTTGTTTATCACAAACATAAGATAGCAGGAACATTTTGAGGTTAGAGCAATATAAAAGATTTACGAGCAGACGGCGACACGTTTCCGGAACTAATATTAGGATGCCTGGGTTCACGTCAGGTAAGTAAGAAAAATAGGTACCAGGTGTTCAAGATATAAGAGACAAAAAAGAGGGAAATCCCCTCACGTACCGTGAAAAGTTATTCGACAGGTACTAAGGCGTGGTTTACATGTGAAACATTTTGTACATCTTACTAGATTTCCCCCACGATGCATCCTCGAATGATAAATTCTGTTACAATGCATATACTTGGGCCTAAAACAGACTAAATCCTATACTACTTAACTAATACAAATAATGATATACTATATAGGTATCAAATACAAATTGGCAGATTATTTAATTTCTTAACAGACACTGATTTTTTTTTACTTTAGAAAATCATAATTGCCGTCAATTATTTTCCCGAGTGCCTCAATAATGAGTGTACAGCTCGGAGCGGGACGCACTCATTTAAAAATTCTCTCATTATTTTAATTATTCCCCTTGCTATTTATCCCATTTCATCGTCCTTCTTTTAATTGGGATTTGTCTTATAAAATTACGATAAAAGTATTACTTCAAACATATTGTAGATTTTAAAATGACGTGAATTGTTTTAAAATATCACAAAATGCCAACCTCATACTACATTCTAAAGTCACTGTTTTCATATAAATGTTCAGTTTAAATGTATAA